GTGTATCGACAGAAAGCGAGAAGAGAAAATTTACATACTTAAGTACTAATAGTTCACGAAAATAATAATTTTTGTGAACTATTATTACTTAAGTATGTAAAAATTTATTACATTTCCTGTTGTACGAGGGTTTTACCCAATTCTCGAACCGTGTCAGAGTAAATCCGTGCTATAAAAGTATTGTGTTATACGGGGGATGGTAACAATTCTCGAACCGTGTTAGAGTGAATCCATGCTATAGAAGTGCCGTGTTATACGGGGGTTACCTGTATATATATTTTTACTATATTACGTAAATACAAGTTAATTCTAAGTTCAGGAACGAAATTTATAAAAATTCAAAGTTTTTGGCAGAAATGATTCAATTTCTGCCAAAAACTTTGGCTTCAAAATAAATTTCTCCATGTTCTATACAAATTTTTGCATATTTTAGTAATTTACTATGCCCTCGTGGAAGGATTTTTTTATTTTTTTGGAAGTGGAACAGGAAGTGGCCAGTTGGAGTTTGCCAGACAAAGTTAAGGACTCCTGTTCTTCAAATTAAAATTTGCTTTGAAAGAGGGACAATTTCAATCAATTTTGGAAATCATGAGTCTGTACAGAGAGAACTAAACAGTATTCCAAAAGTGAAGGCATAGTAAATTATTAGTGTGTGCAAAAATTTGTACAGATAACACAGATATTTTTAAGACTGATACCAAATTGAATCATTTTTGCCAAAAACTATTTTTTGGTAGAATTTCACTTAGAGCTCCCTATTGCAGCACTTCTGGTCACCATCTTATTTGTGAACATGACATCCACAACAAGATGGTGACTGCTTTAACTTTTATTCCTTTGGTGACTGGTACAGCTAATAAATACATCAGCATTTAAATAAAATAAATTTTATTCACCATTGACATATTTTTAATCTTTTCTTCATTTTCTTTGGTAAATAACAGAGTTCAGCTGATTCTTTCATAAATTCAACTTCTTTCATAGGTATATTTTGTTTTACTTAATACTTTTTTTGACAAGCTTCCTCTTACAATGTTTAGGGGTAATTTTTGGGGCCAAAGGAACTCCAAAACTCAGTTTTTCCCGTGTACCTGTACTACTACCTAATATCCATGCTCCACATTGTCAACACGGGCGATATTGAGCATTGACTGATGCTCCACATGGGTGGGGCAAGCTATCACATTCCCTTAAAACTATATAACATCAAGTACTCCACGAAAAGCCAAGTGGGCTACTTGAAGCCAACATAATCACGTGGGCTAAATAATTAAATGTGATAGTCTTAATGGTGCAATGTGATTTTGGGGGGCCTATAACACACTGTCTAAAATTTGAAATGGTTTGAACCTAATCTAGAAACCAGAATACATGACATAATAGTTTTAGATGATTTTGACATCTATTATAGCCGTTCTAAGACTCATGTTGTCAAGATTTCGGAAGTGCTACCACAGGGACTCCATAAGTAAACTTCTACCCTATTAATTTTTTTTTATAAATTCAGTTCCCAAACTTAGACAGACCTTGAAAATTTTCATTAAATTTTGTTTAACAACAACATATAACTAAATACTGGATGGCTTGAAACATTTAATATTTGGCTACAGAAGGATTTAAAGTTTCCTGTTATAAATAATAATGTATTTTTAATAATAGAAAAAAGAAGCTATTTGTATTAAGCTTATATTTGCATGCTACAAAATAAATGTAGAGGATCATATATGATATACATTCATAATTCCTATATTTTAATTACTGTGATAAAATTCATTAAAAAAAAATTAATTTAATATGAAATATTCCAATAACTAATTGTTGTATATTTAAAGGTGTCTCAGACAATTGCTCGTGGTGGTCCCCGTTCTCAGATTGCCATACCTGCACAAGGGATGATTGAGTTTCGGGATGCTTTGACAGATCTATTAGAAGAATTTGGCACAGATGATGAAGGTATTTCTCAACCAGACCTGGATAATATGTGTAAGACTTACCCATATTAGATATTTTGGGTTTAATTTAGATAAAGATAACAATTAGTTGTATTTTTCATCATTAATAAACTAACAGTTTTTAATTATTGCATGTTTTTTTAGTTAACTAGAAGTTCATATAAAAATCAGTTACAATACAAAAAATAGATGAATTTTTATTTTAAAGTTTTGTTTTATATTTATATATTTACAATGAGTATTTTTTCTTATCCAACATTGTCAGAATTCTTATCATTATTTTTTTACATTCATTACAGATTATCAGCAGTTTAAAATTGAACATTATTTAATTATAAGTAAAAAATACAAATAAATTTCGTAAATTTGGATAATGTTTGATTTTTAAGTTTCTTAAAATTGTTAAAGGTAAAAATCTAAGGATTTTATAACAAAGATGATTGAAAAATGTTTCCACAAAAAGTTTAAATACAACATTGAATATAGATCAGGTTCTGCATTTGTAATGTGTACATCATTGTAAAAAAAAGGATTTTATCTTTTGTAAAATAATTGATCATTATCCTTCTGTATTCAACAGCACACAGTACAGTCTCGATTATAATTGCAAAGCAAGAAATTACTATTAAGGGCGATAAGAGAGATGAATATCTAAGTATAGTTAATGCTATGGAAATTATAGCATAAAACCTTTTATCATATTGTGTGTAGTGCTTGGAGACATTTCAAACACATTTTGTGCAATTGTTTCTTCGCACGCTGCTTCATTTTCTTTTATTGTTGCAATGTTTCACTATTACAAATTAACACACTAAACACCTTTAAAAATCCATCATAAAACAGTTTAATTCAGCAACTAATGTTTTTGGCCATGTTTGACTACCATAATGATTTGGCTGTTAAAAAAAGGTAAATGAAAACAATTATAAGTATAAAAAAATCAAGTATGGTTGCAAAAATAAAGAATCTCATCAAAAAGAAAACTTTGAGAGCTTCGAGAGTAGTAAGGATGTGCCATTTGACCATAAAATGTTGGTTAAATTAAAATTGTTATAACAAAATTTGCGTGTTAAAATTAGCTATACTTAAAAAATGGAATTATATTTTGGGTTGGGACAAAGATAGCTATCAAAAGCACTTTTATTTCACAAATACTAGAACCAATGCCATCAGGCAGTAGATATCCATTGCCATTGAACAACAAATCAGAGTAGGAAATAATAATAATAATAATAAAACTATATCTCAGTACAAAAAATGCATCATAAAATACATATGAACAAATTTAAAGAAAGATAGTTTAAGAGACAGTTATTTTAAATATAATATTATGATGTTAGAAAAGTCCACTTGTACAGAGGTAAAACAGTTCTTAAAGGTCAACAACTTGAGTAATCATACAAAGAGGTCTCCAAAAGAAATACTCAGGATAGAAATGTAAGAACATAACTGTCATAATAGGAAGTTTTAAATATTATGAGAAGTGATCCAAAGATTAACATTTTCTGCTTCAGTAAGGAATTAAATATTAGCATTATTGTTAATATTTTAAAAGTTAATTTTGAAAAATTGTTGAAAATATTGTTTATCATCACAAGATGCATACCCAAGCTGTTGCATTGAAAGATTGCTATTCATGTGTTACAAAGTGAGGAAAAGTTGGGCCGTTATGAATTGATGAAGTCAAACTCGTATGGGTGCTTGCTGTGTTATCCGCCCACATCATATTGCATGTTGCATCCCAATCTTGTGTATCCATTGCACTTTGTCATGTTGCTTATGTAATGATGTAGACAAGTTTGAATAGGTGACTAAATGAAATAATTAAATATAGTACGAGTCAAAGATATAAAGTACTTTAATTTGTTTTAAGAAATCAAACTTGCCAAATAGTATTTAATAATATATGCTAATTTGCAAATTAATGAATTTGAGAATTCATCAACACAAATTCCCAAACTAAAGAAGGGATGTATTGTGGAAAATGGATTATTCATTCAATATTTGGAATTTACCTACATCAGAAATTGATGTTTGTATTTTTCAGGAATATGATGTAATACATTCCCAAAGCTTTCACAAAAAAGATACAGAAAATCCTCATTAATTTGAACTCAGATATTTTGAAATCCCATTAGTTCATAACTATACTATTTATTCTGACTAGGAATATAGAGATTTACACGCTAAAGAATTTGGTTAGTAGGATGGAGAAATCACTGAGATCATCTTTATATGTGAAATATGGCTACTTTGAAATTTGAAGTGAAAACTCTGTCTGAACTGTGATATGTATATGCTAACTCTTTCGTTTAGATTGAAGTTCCTCCATACTGTAAGAGAACAATAGACCATGAACAACTCTAAACTGGTCAGCATGACTTTGCTTTTACAGTAACACATTTTTTGGTATCACCTTACCCATGGACTACCCTTTTTTCTCTTATCTCATAAAATACAACTGGGTTTTGGGATTGCAAGATTGGGCTACAACTAGCAGATTGAAATATTTGTAGGGCTCTAGTACATTTGGACAACTTATTACTTTTTGGACCACTTTAAAAATAATTTGGGCTATATTTTGCTTTACTTTTCATAAAATCTATCTGGCAACCTGTGAGGTCTCACCGGACATATATTACATCCACTTCTTTGTCCCTATATTTTATATATATGTAGTAAGGTTTGCCAGGCTTGTGGAAGACTAAATCTATCTTTACTGTTAATGCAGCCTCCTATTTGTTCTAGCTTGTAAATACACTCATTGTCATAAAAATTAGTACACCAAGAAGGAGGACTTGTATTACTGCAAAACATGGCATGAAGATAAATCTCAAGCAGATATGGAATTGATTAGTTATAGTGTGATGGTTCATCGCGTAATGCCAGCAGAAAGCATTAATTAAAGTGCATTGCCCCATGACCTATAAAAAAGCACACAAGGGCATTCTATCTGTAGTTTATCTGTTACAGAGGGACTCTGTATGATTAGAGATGCCTTTACATCATAATTGAAGACCATATGAACAATTAATCGGAATTGCTACTTATCTAAGAGACCTAACCAGAATTTTTGTACTTATCTAAGTGCTAAAAAAATGTTTTTAATAGATAGAAAAACACAAAAGCATGCATTGTTTAACATATGAAGACAATAAATGATATTTTGCATCATTTACAGAGTTACAGTATGTATTTTATCATATCTAAAATGTAAAATCATTTGAATTGAATGCAAAAATTGTTAAAGTTATGAATGTCATAGAGTAAGATAAAGAGTATTTGGATTGGATTATGAAACTGAATTTGTTACTTGTTATATCTGTAACTCATATAATAACAAATTTTAAAAGGTTTGAATCTGTTATTTTTTGGGTTAAAAATCTGATAAGGTATATAATCTCAGAAAACATTTAATCTGAGTAAACTGCTGACTCCATCTATTGTGTTTTTATAGTTTTTACAGTTTCTTTTTGAATAGATGTAATTAAATGTTACAAGAAGAATGTTACATACTGTATTTTTAAAATATTCTATTTTTATTCTGTTTCAATTACAATTTAGAAGTGTGATCAAGATGTGAAGATGATCAAAGTTAGACTAAAAATGTTTCAAAATAAATATTTTTTTGTTTTCTAAAACAGGCAGCTTTTTTGATTTATTACTATTATGGTGTGAAGTTTTATATAGTTTAACAAAGAGAAGTTGCATGGTTTAAATGTAGAAGTATTTTTAAAAACCTATCATTCTTTCATTTTTAAGAATAATTCTGAATGAGATTAAGAAAATTTTGATATATCAGGTAAAAAACTTTCAAAAAATCATGAATTTGAAAATTTCTATTTATTTGTTTATTCTAAAATGTGTGCTTGTGTATGGTTCTTATACAGTGGGTGATCGGTTAACAAACATAATCCGTTCCAAGACTTTGTTTGCTATCTAAATTGTTCATTAACTGATTATCGATTTACCATAGGTTTCTATGAGAATTTGATTAATTTGTTCTGGAGACCCCCCAAAAATAAAAAGTATATACATTCTTACTATGTTTATTCATATCTATATATATATATATATATAAATGGACGTATGTGTCCCTATATTTCACTTTTCAGCCAAAACTACACATTGCACATGAATGGTGTTTGTATGTGGTAGTAGCCCCGAGTCTCCATTCGTGTACTATGGTAGTTGCATCTCGATAGCTATAAGGGTGCGGGAGATATGGGGCTGAAAGTGGTTGAAAGTGGTTTCTATTTCGAATTCTATGTTCGAATTTGTTCGAATTTAATTCGAACATAAAATTCGAGTATTGGTTCGATTATAGAACGTTTGTAAACGTTCCAGAAACGTTGAAAAGAGTTCATTTGACTAGACGTAAATAGGAGACGTTTAGAAATAGAATCGGGACCAGATCTCTAATTAGTCTGGAAACGGGGGACCTAATTCTTGCATTCTGTGAAAACGGGTAAGATTGGCTATAATGTAATTATCTTAATCTTCACTATCGTTACTTTTTGCCCA